TTCATCAATCCACTGTTCTCATCTATGGTGATATTTAAATTAAAAAAAAACAGAGATATATTTCTATGAGATATCATTATCATAGCAGCACCTCATACAAATATAAAAGGTGATCTAATGATTTCTACCTATATACTACAAGCTATTCGATCTAGTTTTTTTAAAAATAAGAGCATTATATTTATTGATAGTCATTAAAGTCATGTTTATAATGATATAAAAAAAGTATTTAAAGCAGAGAAGCTAGGTCTTTTAGAAATATCTAGAGAAACAACTAGTATTTTGCAACTACTAGACATTTCAGTTAACAAGCTATTTAAAAAATAGAGTAAAACAAAGATGAGAACAGTGGATTGATGAAGGAAAAAAAGTATTTACTAAAAGTAGAAATCAGAAAAAAGCCTTATTTAAACTTGTCTGTGAATAGATGTCTAAAACCTGGAAAAAGATTAGTTCTAATATTTTGGTTAGATCTTTTGAAGCAGCTAGACTTATACTTAATTCAGATGGTAGTGAAAATAATAAAATATCATATCATCTTCAGACAATTGTTCAAGCTGTTGCTAAAACCAAACAAATAAATTGAATATGAATGAATTATTAGATATGCTTTCAGAAGATGAAAATAAAAGTATAATGGATATAGAAAATCAAACTGACAATAAAGAAAATACTACTAATAATGAAGTTAATGATGAAAATACAATGAATTATAAATATGTGATGGATGATGATAAAAGAATAATAGAATAATAATAAAATAATATAAGTTGCTAAATTGGAAAAAATTAATTAAATAAGAAAAATAATTATTAATTTATTAATTTAAAATTTATACTTATCTCAATATTTTTATTGTAGTATACAGTATAGTAATTAAATATGCATTGGATAGTTCAAGCTATTAATTGTTTGTTATTCTTGTTCTCTGTCTCCAAAGAATTTGAAAACTTATTTAATGTTTTATATTTTTTTTTTTTTTTTTTTTTTAACCCAGAACTTTTATTAGTTATAGATTTGTTTAGTTCATTTGAGTATTTAGATATAAATACAGTATTAAGTAAGCTGATTTGAAATAAATTCTTATATATAGAAACTTTAATTTTTGCTTAAAAAATGGTTTATAATATATTATGACATAATTATATAATTATGATTTGACAGCATAGAAGATTATAGTCAAAAGAAGTTCGTTTAAACTTTAAAAAGTTACAACACTTTGCCAAAAATATAATTATTGCAAAAACTGCATTTAGTTGATAAATTAAAAGGTCATTATTAAAATGTAAAAGAGATTTTCAAGAATATATAATTAATTAAAAACTTAAAAAACAAGATCCTGGTTCTTTAAATAATTCATTTGAAAAGACTTATTACATAGTAACAATGTTGTAAATCTTGAAGTTCAATACCAATAAATGTAAAACTAATATAAAATAAAAGGTTGTATTAGTTGACAAGCAAATTTCACATTTAAAAAATAATAATGATGAATAGCTTTAATAAAAATTAAAGCAATTAATTTTTTAATTTTTATGAAT